AAGCATTAAAGAAAAATTTATTAATTTTGTTATTGAGAATACACCCAGCAAAGCATAATCCGATTCAACCATTCCTATACGCACAACTGAGTGATGCTGATTACATCTGAGTTGTGCAATCATTCTCCCTTTCTTTTTCTGAGCTCTTCCTTCCTTGACAACATAAACTCAAGGCTCCTATCTAAACTTCAACTTGCTGTTGTCAATTTGACTGCATACACACCGTTCTTAAAAGAGTAGAGACCTCAAGGGGGCGGACCTTCTTTTTACCAGTTAAGCTACTGTTCAATTTCAACACTAGGTTTACAGACATTTCTGATATACCTATCTCTATGGACACTCATCAAATTGACACATGAACGAAATCACATTTTCTTTAAAAAACAACTTCTATTTAAACACAACACTTAACTTACAAATGGAACTATGATACTATATATTTACATAAAATTTGAGATACTAGGTTCAACGTGTTGTAAGGGCCACTTGAAACAGCTTTCAAGCGGGCCTAATGAGATCAAGCGATAAGACCGTGCATTTTCACTTAACTATGTCTGCCTTGCGTTTACAAAGCTCTCTCTTGGTAACAGTGCTATTCACATCCCTCACAAATGTCTTTTAATCACAATGCTACAAAAAACTTATATACTGATGTTTTCCAAAAGAACTTAACTGTATTTTTCCACAGCAGCAAGGTGCACCGAGTTGGGGTCCAACCTCTACCACTTAATACTAACCCAAAGGTTGGCGGTTCAAAAACCCCCAGCGGCACCATATTCGAAAGGCTGGCAATTCTGGCTCTGGAAAAAAACCCAAACTAAAATCTTATGAAGCCAGGGTCCCCTTGGAATTGGAATCGACAAGATCCAATGTTATTCTGAACGCTGACGCACCACGCTGGCGTAGTACTGGTCCTGCGGTCTATCTTTGGCTGATCTAGGGACCAGTTTGGGGTCGCGGTGTAAGAGGGGCCGGCACCAGATTCACAGCGCAGTGGTGACACACGTGACACCGGTTGAGTGAAGCGCTGGCCGCTACGACCAGCACAGTAGGGAGTGGTGAGTAGTGAATCAACCCGATTGTGAAGTTGCTGGCCTGGGGAAGCCGAGTATGGCGCTGAGGCCCACTGCCATGGCGACCGTCGATTTAGACTCTCAGGGACCCTCCGAGGCAGAGCAGAGGGGCTCCCTAGGGGTTCCTTACCAGACAGACTGCCTCGCCCTTCTCCCCGGGAACCGCTGCGGGGCCTAACTGCTGCCCAACGCGGAATCTACTCGGCCCTGGTGATTCAGGTGGCTGTTCCGGCCGCCCGCCGGGGCACTGCCCACAAGGTGTGAACGCATTTCTGGTTGTCACACTGGGTGCTGGTGGGTCGGCAGCCCCCACAACAGCAATGCCCAGCCCGGTACGTCCAGGGCACCGCGGCCGAGAAGCCCCCGCAGTGGCCGCTGGGCCGGGCCTTCGAAAGAAAGCCTCCGCTTTCTCAAGCCCGGCCCAGGCAGCAGCCACTGTCCGCTCCGTCTGCGTCCCCGGCCGGCATGAGCGCCGGACCTCGCAACGCGTACCTCCTAGTGTGCCGGCCGGCTTTCCTCAGGCGCTGGCCGCCGGTGCCGCGGTCTCTCCACACGCCAAGCGGAAAGCGCGCGACGCGCAAAGCCTGCCGGGAGCACCGGGCCCCCCCCCCCCCCTCCTCCCACCCAGCGCCCGGGCGCGCTTCTAAGCGGCAGTTTTGTTGCGCGAGGCAGGCCCTGACGTCACTTCCGTAGCGGCCCCGACTGCGGCCCCACCCCTAACGCGCCCGTAACCCAGGGCGACGGCCCCGCTACTCGCGGAGTGCGTTCCACGCTGGCCGGCCGGGACTACCTGCCCTGAGCCTTCTACCCTGCCCGGTGCTACATGAGGGTGTAAACGGCCGCGGCTCCGGCCGCTCCCCCGCCCTGGGGCACAGCCCGGGCCCCCACGAGCAGTAGCGAGAGGCGGCAGAAGCAAAACGAAGCGGCCGCCCGAGAACGAATGGGAAAACCCGGGAGAGGTAGCAAGGCCCAGGGCGGGAATTGGAGTGGGCGGGGCAGTGGGAGGAGCCGTTGGAGGCGGAGCTCTGGGCGGGGCCAATGGAGAAAGTGGAGGAGCTTGATTTAGGCGCCAAGTGTGGCCGGAGGAAGGATAATTACAGAAAGCCAGGAAGGCTTCTTGGTGGATAGGTAGGTTAAGTCAAAATGGCCTGAGGAAGCACGGAAGATAATGGTGGGAGAAAGGGCGGAGCCTGTGGGAAGGGGGAGGGACTAGGTGAGCAGGGCGGGGCTTTGGGAAACAGGTGGAATTTGTGTAAACTGTAAAGTGTGAAAGCTGAGAAAACAGGTGTCTATATATAGTTTTATTCCCAGTATCGAGCACTTAATGAATGTGAGTTGAGCTAGGAGTGGAGTTGGATTGTGTGGTGAGGGGGTGTACTGGTAAAACCGCAGAATTGGGAATCATTTTATGAATATTTAATGACGGCCACGGTGAACTGAGTGCAAGTAAGCCTAGGGCACAAAGAACGCTATCTAGTGAGGATACGAGCCAGTTGTGCAAGTTGATGGTGCATGCGCTTAACCTTGAGGCAGAGATTCTACCCCTGCCGAGGTGTGCTCCAAACTGATTTTGGTAGGCGTTCCTGGGAAGCGTTCCCGTAGCAACTATGTTAACTCTAGGGAGGATACTCCGGCCAGTCTTCAAGTCGATTTGAAGCTTAGTTAAACCACTTCGCTTCCACCATGGCTAACAGCATGCCTCTTTATTTATGCATTTTATTCAACACATGCGGTTGGGGAGGGACAGGAACTCCCATTCCAAATTCCAAGTGAGGGTTCCAGAGACCATCCTCCTCTGGCTGAAATCCTTGCAATAGAGGCAAGATTCCTCTGAGCCTGAAGCTTCTCTCAAAATGGGAGGGACGTATGGGGGTACAGTGCAGAGCGAGCAAGGAACTGGGATAAAGCCGAAAGGAGTTTTGTGGATGAGAGTCTGCTTTTTGACTTGAAGACCCTGAGCCTTTCACCTCTTCTTGGGCATCAACATTCCTCCACTCTTGGTAGATGACACACCGTCTTGGAGTCCATTCGACTTGTAGAGACCTGGTAGGGCTGAGAAGAAGGCTCCCTAGGATTTCTGAAGCTGTAAATATTTAAAGGAGCAAAAAGCCTCATCTTTCTCCCATGGAGCTGCTGGTGGGTTTGAACTGCCAATGTCGTGGTTAGCAGCTGATGGCTTAGACCACCAGGGCTCCTTCCTTAGTGGATGAGGAATGCGTTAACTAGTTGTTGGAATCTAGGGTAAGGCATTTGTGATCTGATCATGTAGCCAGGTGAGTCTGTGGCAATAACTCTGCATCCTGTCTTTCTCCAGTACATTGTACCTGCCACTAACATTTCCTCTCTCTGCATTTTCCTATTCTGGATCTTTCTTCTACGTGGGATAATAAACCTTTTGTCCATTTGTGTCTGATTTAGTTCACGCAGCATCATGTTTTCAAAGTTCACTCATCCTAGTATGCCTCAGCACTTCATTCCTTTTTATGGCAAATTAATGCCCCATCCTTTTTTTTTAACCTTCGAATCTGTTGGTGGACACTGTTGGTTCCAAGGACATTTTCAGAGAGACTCTGACAAGGAAGGATTCGTGCGTTAAGATGATAAAGAATTTGGGATTCTCGTCTGGAGAGATGACAGCTGTCTTCAGATAGTTTCAGGTCTATCATATGTTGCTTTGGGAAATAACATTACACCTGGAAAGCAACACTTGCAGGCTTGCACATGTCTTTATCTGAGAACATTATAATTCTTCCAGGTGCCAATGGGATTTTAATTTTTTAAATTTTAATAAATTTTATTGGGGTTCTTGCAGCTCTCACAACAATCCATGTGTATCAAGAACATTTCTACATATGTTGCCATCATCATTTTCAAAACATGTCCTTTCTACTTGAGCCCTTGGTATCAGTGCCTCTTTTTCCCCTCCCCCTCCTCCCCCTCCCACCCTTGATAATTTATAAAGTATTTTAATGTTCACGTTTTACACCCTCCGCTGTCTCCCTTCACCCACATTTCTGTTATTCATTCCCCTGGTGATGGTGGTGGGGGTGTGTATTTCGATCATGTCTATCAGTTCTCCCTTTCTCCCCCCACCTTCCCTCTACCCTCATGGTATTGCTACTCTCATTATTGGTCTTGAGGGGTTGATCTGTCCTGAATTCTATGTGTCGAAAGCTCTTATATGTACCAGTGTATATGCTCTGTTCTAGCCAGATTTGTAAGATAGAATTAGGGTCATGATAGTGGATAGGGAGCATTAAAGAGCTAGAGGAATGTGTGTTTCATCAGTGCTATATTGTACCCTGGTTGGCTTGTCTCTTCATTGTGACCCTTCTGTGAGGGGATGTCCAATTGTCTGCAGATGGGCTTGGGTCTCCACTCTGACCCCTCTTATTCACATCTAAATGGGTTTTGGATCTTCTGATGGCTGATACCTGATCCCATGGACACCTCATAAGCACACAGATTGGTGTGCTTCTTCCCATGTGGGCATTGCTGCTTTCCTGCTAGATGGCCACTCATTTAACTTCCATCCTTTAAGACCTCAGACACTATATCTTGTAATAGCTGGGCACCATCAGCTTTCTTCACCACATTAGCTTATACACCCATTTTGTCTTCAGCGATCATGTCGGGAAGGTGAGCATCACAGAATGCCAGGTTATTAGAACAAAGTTTTCTTGCATTGAGGGAGGATTTGAGTAGAGGCCCAGTGTCCATCTGCTACCTTGATACTTAACATAAAAATATATGTACATAGACCTATATCCGCCCTATCATTATATATTAATATATTTGCATATGTACAGACCTATATTTATATCTCTATGAAGGTCTTTTGCCTCCTTGTTCTTTCCTCTATTTCCTTTCACTTTCCTCCTGTCCCATTATTCTGGTTGACCTTCATTTGGCTCTCAGTAATTCTTCTTGTCTACATTACATTTGATCAAACCCCACTAGACGTTGTTCTACACCCTCTTTTCCATTGATTTTAGATCTCTTGTTGTTCCCTTGTTCCTGGGCTTGTTGGCACTCTCCCTCCCTTTCCCCCACCTCCCCCCTCTCCCCTGTCTCCCTGGAGCTGTTGGTCCGTTGTTTTCTCCTCAGGATTGTTTATCCTGCCAATCTTAAACAAATATATATGGAAAAAAAAGAAAAGAGAAAAATAGCCTATGAATAGTTCCAGGTCTGTCTGATGACCCTTATGAATGTATTCCGATTGGGTCTGATGCAGTGCCAAGCCCTACACCCGCCACCCTCACCCCCCCAACCAGTCCAAAGTCTATTTTCAGAATTCGTCAGGGACTTTGTTGCTTTGCTCCCCTTGTTGCTCGGTTGCACTCCCAATGGGATTTTTAAAAGTGATTGTAAAGTTATGAGCTCTCCATTTTTGAGAGGATTTGGCCAAAACCTGAATTATTATCAAACAAAATCCATTGTTAGCTTACAGTTGTAAGGTCAGTAGTCCAGCCCAGCATGACATGTCTTTGGCCTCAGATCTCATTAGACTGAAATCAAGCCTCCTCCTTATCTCAAGGGTCCGGGTGAAGAATCCATTTCCTCCCTCATTTAGGTTGGCCCGAGACCCTGGTTCCCTTCCTGGCTGGGTTACTTATAAATGTGAATTGTATGTAGCACATTCATAAGAGTAGTAACAGAAACTGTGTGGATTTTACCCAGTTGTGATACTGCAATTGGTTGCTCTGCAGTTGATCACTGGAGGCTTAATGAAAATCTTTGTTCATGTCTGGGCATAAGACACTGCCCGTTCTGCGAGCTGCAGATTGGTTGGGTGTTAAAGCAGCATGGACTTCACCAGCCAGATGGGTAACAAAGAGGCATTTGGTAGCCTCTGGACTGCTCAGTTCATTAGCCAACTCCATGAATCATAATGTAGTGTCCAGGGGCCCAACAGTAATGTCCGTTCTCTCTGTTTCCTGAGTTTCCACGCCTTTCTTGGACATCTAAGTAAACCCACTGGGAAGGCGTTGTGCACTTTGACTTAAGAGTAATGGGACAGTGTTTATTTATGGCTGTGTCTGAATCAGCTCCATACACTCTCACTTGACTTTGTAGACCTTTTTTTGTACAGTGTTCTTTTCAGTCTGCCTGTTGGAGATCTTTACTCCAACTTAAGCGTGATATAAGCCATGTTATCTGTTCTCTCGATATATTTGCTCAAAGTCAATCTAGATGGTTATATTTGCCTCTGCCATTTTCCTTTGTCCCATTTCTTGAAACTCTCATTACATAATTACTTCTGTAAAAAAATACTTTTTATTCTGGAAACTTTCCCACTTCCATAAAAGCAGAGAGAAGTACAATGAGCCTAAATGTCTTCGTGCCCATCGATAGCAAACACAGTTCATGGCCACTTTTATTACATCATTCCTTCACTCCCCATCTACTCCATAGAAGGATTATTTTGAAGGAAGCCATAGTGCCTTAGGTTTCACTGTAGAGATATTTTACAGTTTGGGAGCTGGTCACTTCTTTTCTGTTCCTGCCTTTAAATGATGCTGTTGTGTTGTTCTTAGGTGCCACGGAGTAAGCTCATAGTAACCTTATGTACAACAGAACAAAGCACTGCCGGTCTGTCCCATCCTCCCCATCGTTGCTGTTTTTGAGCTGTGGTTGCAGCCACTATGTCCATCCAGCTCAACCTTGACCAGGCACTGGTCTCTCCTGATAACGTGTCCAAAGCATGTGAGATGGCGTCTCACCATCCTCGATGCCAAGGACCGTTTTGACTGTGTTTCCTCCCAGACAAATGTGTTCTTAGGGCAGTCCCTGGTACTCTTCATGTGTGTCGCCAGCACCACAATTCAAGTGCATCCACTCTTGTTGGTTCTTCCTTATTCAACGTTTATTACTTGCCCAGTTTTCACGTGTTGACTTTCGCCTTGGTGGGTTATCAGGCTTTTAACCAACTTCTTTAGTTCATTTCCAAGTATCTTTC